TCAAGAAGGATATGCATAAATTTTTCCAAAACAAGGAGGAAAACCCATATTTATTCATCATACCGACTTTCTATCACAAAATCATTTCATACATTACTATAACTAAGAAAATATCACATATATTTATACATATATCTCAAATACCAAGTTAAAAATGCCCCTACCTTAAAAATGAAGACAATAAGATGCAAACCCAAAAACCTCGAAGAAATCCCAATCCAATCTGTCAAAATGTTGATCTTGTCTTGTTCTTCACCTTTAATACAAGATATATGGTAGATTCTTGGTGAAAAATAGATGAAACCAAGATTTGGAGGTCTAGGATTTCGTGTATGGAGGAGAGGAAGAGAAGACAGGAAGAAAGAATGAAAAGTTTGGACCAAAAACTCACTTTAAAGTGCCTAATTTTGAACAAACCACTCGAGCAGTCAAAACTTGGCTTGAGCGATGAAAGAAAGCTCCTAGAATCTCTGAAATTCGTGCAGACCGCTCAAGCGGTCAAAAGTTCGCTCGAGCGGACTTGCTTCCAACATAGGTATCCAAATTTCAAACATGCATAACTCCCTCGTCCGGACTCCGTTTTGGGTCGTTCTTATGTCTAAATCGATGCCCCAGAAACAAGCTTTCCAATGGCTTTAACCTCACATCCAAATTCAAAGTGTGGAAAGAGAAAAAGGAAAAAGAGTGAAGTCTACTTATAGGACAATTACCAAAATTAATGTTTTTGGTTCAATCCTACTTTCCCATTATGATACCACCTCAATCAATGTTATTAAATGAAGCAAAGAGGCTCCAAGTACAATAATAAGACTGTCAAGAGCAATCCCACTAGTCCAAGAAATATGAAGTGTTACACTTTGACTCTCTCTATCTCTCTCTCTTCTATAATATATGTATATGGATGTATGTATATATAACTCGGTATTCTTCTCTATGTATCAACTAGTCTGGAAGACCATATCGTCCACTAGTAGGCCCAACTAAAGCCACGACAAAGTCCCATATGGACTGACCCAAATAAATTATTTATACCTAGGAGATTTTGAACCTAAAACCAGTGAGGAAGCATACCCATAGACCTCAAGCCTAACCATCAGGTCAACTTGTTGGGGTTGTATATGTATGTATGTATATGGTGTAATCATGTATGCATATATATATATATATATATATATGTATGTATCTAATTGTGTTTTTGAATTAGAATCCTATAAACCAAAGTAAATGATAAGGCTTTTATGATTTAATTGAATTAATTTTGATTAAGTAGATAGAAATTATGTGTGTAATAAAGGAGAGAAAAAAAAGAAAGATGAAGAGTTAATAAAGAGGAACAAAAAAAGCTGAGGACTAGAAGGGTATTAAGGTTTTTTAAAATCTAGGAAAATTTATTCATAAATCCCATATGGAGGTATGTTGATCCATTTACTCCTAAAGCTGTGTTTGGTTAGGGATTTGAGGAGAAATTTGGAAAGGAAAAGGAAAAATGTATGGGAAATTAGGCGAAATATAGGTATATTTTATTTACATTTCACATATCTTTTCCATTTCCCTTTTCAAATCCCTTCTCAAATCCCCCAACCAAACACAACATAAGAGTTTTTTTTTTTTTTTTTAATTTTATGAACCAATTAGTCATTTTTGTTTTGGAAAGTTATATTTATTTGATCTGATGCATTTAAGTTTAAGTGAAAGCCCTTTTATGATTCATTTTTCTAATTTTTTTTTATTCCTTTTTGAGATGGGAATAGAAAGGTAAGGTGTGGAAGATTCTTTTTTGGAGGGATTGGTAGCTGAAGTGTTGGTTGTCAAGCATGGAAATCTACATTTCTATTAGTGTGGTTTTCTGGTATTACATTGGAGTGTTACATTAGAGTGTTTCATTTGGAAAAAGTACACTAAGGAGTTTTTTGTGTCCTACATTGATTGAAGTATTACGTTTGTAAAAAAAATACTATGAAATTTTTTTTAGAATGTTATGACGTTACATTTGAGAAAAACACACTAAGGAGTTTTTTTTTTTTTTTTTGAAATATTACGTTATTACATTTGAGAAAAGTACACTAAGGAGTTTTTGTATATTACATTGATTGGAGTATTACATTTGGAAAAAAGTATACTATGGAGTTTTTTTAGAATGTTACGTTGTTTCACTTGAGAAAAGTACACAAAGGAGTTTTTGAGTGTGTTATTGGAGTGTTATGTTTAAGGAAAATATGTTTGAAAAAAGTACATTAAGGGATTTTTGTGTATTATATTGATTGGAGTGGAAAAAGTACACTATGGAGTTTTTTGGATTGAGAAAAGTATACTAAGGAGTTTTCTAGTATGTTACATTGGAGTGTTACATTTTTTGAGTGTTACATTGAAGTATTACGTTTGAAAAATACACTAGAGAGTTTTTTTTTTGAAGTATAACGTTTAGTAATTTCAACATTATGAAAAACCCCACATTTGTCCTCAACACATAACACGCGCATGTTTATGCTTGACCCTTTATGTAATTCATATTTAAATGGAACCTTTGGGTTCATAAGAAAAAATGGAGGACCAAACAGTTTATACGATCACTATTTGAGATTTATTAGTGTTTCACCCTAAAATGTATTGTTAACGAAGTTAGATGTTGCAATTTAGTCCAAAGACACAAGGGAAGCTCTCTGCCTATATTTGAACTATAAATGAATAAAATATTTCAGCCTTAAGCCAAAAGGGAGTAAAGTTAATTTTGCTATATTTGTTATAGGGCATTGGTACCATTCCAAGGGTCAAGTATGTATATATAATTTTTTTTTTTATCCTCAAACTTTGAGGTGATTCCAAGTAATGGTTGTAGTTGTCATAATGATAACTACTATGATTGTGGTTGAAGTTTTGGTTGTAGTTACAATAATTAGGGGTGGTTCTCGATCGAGTCGGGTAGCTTTCCATCCATTATTCATCTAAATTTAGGTGGATTGGAATAAATCAATCTAGACCCGCTCGTTTAGTTAAGATATGTGGATTGACAGGTGGATGCGGATTGATTTGGCAGTTTGGGGCTTTTTTTTTTCTTTTTTTAAAACTATTTTTGAGTACATTTTTTTTACTACTTTAGACCTTATTTGAGTCTAAATTTTTTATTTGTAATTAAAATAACGGCCAAACTTTCATATTTCATTAGTAGCTAATATTATTACTAAATAAATTATTCTTTTTCTAACATACAAATCATAAAATAAAAAAAATAACATCATTTTCTTAAAGGGGGTTAGCAGATTGGGTTGGGTTGGGTCAGGTGGCCTTTTCCATCCACCATCCATCCAAACATAGTGTGGGATTCTCTTCCCTGACAGTTTCATGTCTCATGCTCACTGAAGTAACCAAGGTGCAATGTGAGATATGAATAAATGGTCTACACTTAACATATCTGACAAAAATCCACTAATCATAAAAAAGTGCTAAAGATATATCAAACATGAAACATAGAGTCGCCACCTAATTTTTTGGAAAAACTAGGAAACTTGACATGAGAATTTTGAGCACCTGAAGGTCACTTCCCGTCATAACAAAAGAACCTGATTCGGGAGTCTAGGTATAAGGGGAGAAGGTCATGAATTGAGCACCCCCACTTACCCGATCAAAGACCGACCTCTACTAGTTCTTGATATGAGAATTTTTACACAATATGATCATATAACCAATTATTAGTCTTATCTTTACTATGTGGACCAAACAAATATAGACCAAATCACCTATTTTAGAATACTCAAATCTCTCGCAATTTGAAAAGGGTTTAAAAGTAGAAATCTCATGAAAGCAAGATGACTAATGCGCAAAGAGATCGAAATCATTCCAACTTGGATAATGAGACCTCCATACAATGAGCAATCATAAAGGTATGACACATAAGCACATAGCCTCATGATAGTATGCTAGACATAAAAAGAAACAAATACACACTGGATGCAAGACAAAGGAGGAAGGCTCACCAAGTACTCCTCTGTACCATGACATGAGTGTAAGGGGTTAGAAATCAATGCACGATCTTAGATGTGAGACTAAATGATATGCAAAGAAAATGAGAAGAAAAACTCATCGGGTACTCTATCCAAGTGCAACAAAAGACAACTAATTAGAAATATGCATGATCTTAGATGTAATAATCTATAAAATGCAATCATACTCATGAAACGAATCCTATGAGCTCGAATATTGCTAGTGAGGATGGCATATGGATCATCAAAGAGAGCACACCACATAAAGACATCTACCATTGCATAATAATCTGGGCTTAGATGCATGACTCTAATCTAAACATGTGAATGCCATGATAATAAAATAAAATCTAAATAAAGTAGATAAAGCTATACTAAGAGATAAAATGAAAGAGAGAGAGGGAGGGTAAGAGTAGGGAGAAAAGAAACCCATTCCAACACACACGACAAACATAATAACTATCATAACAAAAACAAATACTCCAACGAGGATGAAGAAGTCCTACCCATCCTACACATGGAAACAAGTATAGTCTACCCGAACGAATCCATGAAAGAAAGTTTTGAGAAAGTCACTACAAGAAATAACACATTTGCCGACCAAAAAATTGTTCGCTAAAAGCCTATTTTTAGTCCGTAAAAGTTATCCGCGACCAATTTTTTTGGTCGCCACTTTGGTCCCCAATTGAGGGCCAGCAAAAGTAATTCGCAACCAAAATTTTTGTTAGTCGGGAAAAGTTGGATTTGCCAACTAAATTTTTGGTTGCTAAATATATCATTATTGCGACTAATCCATTTTGTCGGTAAAACACTTTGGTCGCGAAAAGTGATATTTTCCCGACCAAATATCTTAGTCGCCAATTGTCACATTCCACAACGAAACAAATTAGTCGCCAAAAATTGAGGAATCACCGACTAACAATTTAGTCGCCAAAAGGTAAGGAATTGCCAACCAATGATTTTAGTCGCAAAAGTGTAGAATTTGCCGACCAATTTTTTAGTCGCCCAATCTCTTTATTTAAATTTTTTTTTTTTTTTTTTGAGAGCATTCAATTTTTGTTTATAAACATTCAATCCAATATCAAACAAAATTCATTCAACCCAACCACAATTAAGGAACAATAACACACCCAAGTAATGTAATTAAAATATAGCATAACACACAGCCAAAGAATTTAACTAAGAAGAAAACTTGAGAATTTAACATGTATACAATAGCAATAGTACGTTCAATCTGTGATGGCTTACACAACCTATCAATCATTATATTCATGGTCAAAACATTTGGAAACAAGCCAGCTCCTTTCATGGCTTCCTGAATCACCAAAGCTTCCTCCACTTTCCCCGCCTTACAAAGCATGCCTATGAGAATATTATAGGTTGAAAGATTAGGGGTTGCATTGTTCTTCATCTCCTCAAATATCCTTAAAGCCTCATCTACCCTACCATTCTTCGCAAGACATGTAAGAATACTATTATACGCAATCACACTAGGAATGCTTCCCTTTGGTTTTTGTCTCTCGAGTAAATTGTAAGCTTCATCGAACTTTCCAGCCGAGCCATAAGCCATGATCATGGTGTTATAAGCATATGCACATGGAACTTTCCTGTTAAGTTCCATCTGCTCAAATAGCTCCACAGCTTCATTCAACCTATTAGCTTTCCATAGAACCCCTATCATGCTTGTATAGGTCACATTATCGGGCATAAGGCCATTCGCTTTCATCTCATGAAAGAATTTCCAAGCCACATCCACCTTACCCACTTTCCCAAAGCAATCAATACAAACATTATAGAGGACAATATCTGCATCAAAGCAGTTGTTTTTCATCTCATCTAACAACAAAAAAGCAGTATCAACCCGACCCTCTTTGGCAAACACGCAAATGAGCATCGTGAACAATTGCACATTCATTTCATAGCCTAGCTCTTGCATCTGATGAAACAGAGTAAGCATGAGGTCAGGTTCAGGAACTGCAGACAAAGCACCAATCAGAGTTGTATAAGCAGAAAACGCAAGGTGAAATTTGAATTTTCTCATGGATTCTATGAAACCAAACGCTTCTCACAGCTTATGAGACTTGACACAGCTGACAACTAAATCAAAACAAGTACTGTTAGATGGGCCAAACCCAGAAAGATTCATTTCCTCCAAAATCTGATCAAGACAATCACATTTTTTGCTCCTACCCATTACCATGAGAAGCGAATTATAAGCTTCTGGACAATGTGCTTTGTTGCTTTTCGTTTCAACAAATCAAAAATAGCTCATTACTAGATCAAAATCCTTGAGCCTCTTTAAGACTCCAATGACTAACTCTGTTTGAGGCATTTCATCAAACACATGTAGTTCATTTTCCAAAGAAGGTCCCCATGAACAACCCTCCAAAATCTGACACACACTATCGATTCCTTGTCTAACCCATTTCAGTTTTCGTAAACTTTCTTGACTACCCACCTCCATAGAAGAGATGGGTCTCGAATTCTGATCAAAGGGTCTGTTGTTGGAGGAAGATGAGAACTTGTCGCCATGTGAGAATGCGAGAGAGAATTTGTGACAACAATGAAAGATTGAACCAGTGGCACCAAATAAATGGGGATTGGAAACTGAATTCACTCAAATTTGGTTATGAGAAATCATTGAAAATATGAATTACAGTCGAATTGTGAGTTGAAAATTGAAGAGAAAAAAAAGCAAGAACCCAATTTACCTTGGTTTCATAAGAGAGCTTTCATGCTTATGGAGTAGACAACGAAACTAAGGATGGTACAGACGAATCTGGGACAAACAATTGCATTTCAATCAACTGAGATAAAGAATCAAACAATTGTAAGGCCGAAAAATGTAAGGGGGTGGGAGGTCGAAAAATGTAAGGGGGTGGGAGGTATCACCTTATCTAAAACTACTCTTGAATCTGCGAGGTACGTTGTAGAGGTACCTTATCTGACCTGTCCCAGTCGTCTTCCTTTGGATCGCCTTCACACTCTGGTGATCTGAAAATATGCCCACGTCAGATCAATACAACCAACCAGTATATATATATATATATATAGAGAGAGAGAGAGAGAGAGAGAGAAAGATAACAAATTAGTCGCCAAAAATTGAGGAATCACCGACTAACAATTTAGTCGCCAAAAGGTAAGGAATTGCCAACCAATGATTTTAGTCGCAAAAGTGTAGAATTTGCCGACTAATTTTTTAGTCGCCAAATCTCTTTTTTTTATTTTTTGGCCCTACACATATATATGTGTGTAGAGAGAGAGAGAGAGAGAGAGAGAGAGAGAGAGAGAGAGAGAGAGAGGTTACCATTGTTGCACAGCTGCAAGAAACCCTAGACCTGTGAGAGCTGTTTTGGAGAAGATGATAAATATATATGGTGAATGAGGTGAATGTGTGTGAGTTGAGAGGTTTAGGGTTGACTAAGTTGAATCGTGCTGAGCGTCTAGACGGGCTTTAGCCCAGTTTCACTGAAAATAAGGTGGAGGGAAATGGGGAAATGAAGCGAAAGGGACAAAGATAAAGAGAAGAAGAGAAATAGAGAGAGGAAGAGAAAAACCTCAATGTTGAAGCGAAGCAATGCGAGCAGCAGTGGCAATGTAATGATGCGCGACAGTGGAAGATCAAGGGTGAACGACGGTGGAAGACCGACGGTGACTGAATGGCGAATCAACGATGGTGAGTCTGTGAGAGAGAGAGAGCAAGAGACTGAACTTGTTTTGGTGTATGTACATATCGATAGAAAATATGAAAAAAATAAAATAAATCATAACTAATAAATTGGGCGGTAATGTGAGAGTATTTCCACCACAAAAAAAAAAAATCTGTGTGTTTTGAAATTGTTTAACTTTATTGCCAACTATCTATTTTTTAGTCACTAAAAATAAGTATTTGCCGATCACATTTTTGGTTGGCAAAGATCAAAAGTAAAAAAAAAAAATCATTAATATTTGGCGACGAAAAGACTAGATTAGTCGTAGAAAAGGTATCTTCGCCGACAAACCTTTTTAGTCGTCAAATCTCAATCAACGGCGACTAAAATATTAGTCGCTAAAAGTATTAATTTGGTGACTGATTTTTTTTGGTTGCTAAAAATAAGTTTTTGGCGACCAAATTTTTGGTCACCAGATAAAAAAATAATTTTTTATTTTTCACTCGGCGACTAAATTGTTTTAGTAACCAAAACTCAATATACGGCAACTAAAGTATTTTTTGGTCGGGGAAAATAAGTTTTTGGCAACTAAAATTTTGGTCGTCAATTCCACAACCAACTTATTTTTGATCTTCCGCAACCAACTTATTTTTTGTCATCAAAATGTGACATTCTACGACCAAATTTATAGTTGGTCACCAAAAGCATATCCCTTTCTGCAACCAACTCATTTTTTGGTCGCCAAAGTATGACCTTCTGCGACCAACTCATATTGGTCGCCAAAAATAATGATTATTCGCGACTAATAAATATTTGGTCGCCAAAAGGTAACTTTTAGCTACCAATTTTTATATTGACCGCGGAAAGTGGTCGCTAAAATTGCAGATTCTTGAAGTGAGTAGGCCTAACTTATCATCGTAGAGGAAATGTGTCTGGATTTCTACATCATCAATAATCAATAAAGTAATAAAATAAAGAAGGCTCCAACGAGGATAGAGAGATTCTCATTCTCAAACACATGAAAAGAGGTATAAACTACCCAGATTCCTAAAATGAGAGGGGAGATTTGGTCTACTCTTGTGAAGGTAACCCTGCTTGGGTTTCTATATCAACAAAAATCAATCAAAACGACATAAAAGAGAAGGCTCCGATGAGGATACAGAGATTCTTGCCTCAAACACATGGAAAGAGGCATAAGCTACTCGAATTCCTGAAATAGGAACGAGAGAGGAAACCATGCATGGGCTTCTATATCAACAAAAATCAATCAAGATAATAGAAAAGGAGAAACTCTAATGAGAAGAAAAAGGTTCTCCTCCTCCTACTCATGAAAATGAATATAAACTATCCAAATTCATGTAAAAAAATGCTCGGGAGAGGAGATCCGGGCTCTTCTCATAGAGGAAATCATGCATAGGCTTCTAACCCATAATAAATTAAGAAAAAGCAAGTCAGACTTGGCTAAAGTCATTATACAGGCCCCTACTAGTTACAGAAAGAGGTAGAAGAAGAGAGAACCCAACTATACTATTAACAACAACCTAACAATGATCTCAAGATCTCAAGATCACTCTAATAAGAAAGAAAAAGAGAATGGAAGTAGCGATTACCTCTAAGCTAGTAGAGATAGGGCCCAAGTTGATCACAAGTTCTAATCCAAACTTCCCTCAAGCTAATAATGATTTCTAAGTCCAAGTGTCCAATCAAAAGGAAGAAGATGACACTCCAAATGTAAAGAATATGTCTGAATCTCAATGTCCAAGGCTCACTAACTCTTACCAAGATTAACTAATTACTAAACAATTAATTAGATTTTATTAACTGAGTAAATTGCCTCATTAATTAACTAATCAAATCAAAGAGTGGAATTGGGAACCCTTTTCTCTCCAAGAAGAGAGGGGTTTTTATAGGCTTGGGGTGCTTGGAATATGGAATTCATCCTCAAGGATGGGGATAGCATATTCCAAGATACTAGGGGAAACTTCATGAGAAATCAGTTTGGCCAACGTCAAAAGGTTTTCGCCGGACAACACTTGTCTAGCCAACCGATAGTGATCCATTATATTTTCTCAAAAGGTATCTGTCAGAGAAAATAGGGTTCAAATGTGTTTATCCATATAGAAATTGTCCCGGCGTGCTCACCCTGACCAAAGTTATCCGGTTGACCAAGCGATGTTCGACCAATTTTCTCATAAGGTTTCTCCTATATTCTCATCATTCTGGCTTTCTAAACTCTCTTTTCTAAAAAATGGATCGACACTTTTTGGAAAACATAATGCTAAGAATGACTGAAATGATTGAGAAGGTACTGCATGCCTACATTTTGGTAAAACTAAGACCAAGTTTGGCTATCCTAAATAAGTACACACTTTTTATCTTTTTATGTTTTTTCCATCACATCATCTCTCTACTTTTCTGCACATTTTCGTAAAAAGACAAAAAATTGCACTTATTTAGGTCATCCCAAACAACCCCTAAGTTTTGAAGGTCTAGAAAACTCTTTGGGAAAAATAGGTGTAGAAAGGTTTGTCTCATCCCTGACTTTGTGCTTGAAACAACCTTTGCTTTCACGAAATGCCCAAATTTTAGGGCCGGTCAAAAATTGGGATGTCCACACATAGATGAATTTAAAAAATCTTTATCCGCATTCGTCTGTCTATACTATCAAAACTTTTTAAAAGCGGATGAATTGGGTTGGGACATCGGTTTTGATGGATCGATTAGGTCCGTGAACACCCCTAGCAATAACAATAACAATAACAAAGGTAATGAGGTTACGGGTACAACAAGTATAGCATAACAATTATAACAACAGAGTTTATAACTTAATTTTATTTATTTATTTGGTACAATTTTAAGAAAATTTATTGATTTGTATGTTTTTATTTCATCGTCATATTTGTTAAGATATTAAAATGTTCTTTTGAAAAGTTTAGTTTATTATTTATTTTATTTTTCAATAATTAATGGTTTCATGCGTCATAAATTGAAAATGTACCATTTTATTTTTATTATTAAAACTTATAGACTTACGATATTATGATTTCAAATTTCAAGGTTATACATTTTAAATACATAATAAATAATAAATAATGTAAAATAGTAAAATGAAAAACAAAATCAATCGTTTATTTTAGAGTAATGATATTCATATTCCACATGTAGCCTTTGACACTGCTCCATTGTAAGTAGGGCGGCAAACAAATCGAGTTGTTTATGAATAATTCGAGATCAGCTCGTTTACAAAATGTACAACCTCAAACTCGATTTTTAAACTCATTTATTAATCAAGTCAAGCTCGAGTAGTCCTAAATTTAGCTCAATAAAACTTGTGAATATAAAAATAAATAAATATTTATTTATTTTTAATAATATATCAAATAAATTTTTGATAATTTATTTTATTTTTCTATTTATATTTGGTGTTTGTGTACATTTCCATATTTGATTGATGAAATTTGTTATTAATATAAGCATTATTTATAATTTACTTGTAATTTTGTATTTGTTATTTTAATAAGTAAATTAAGTTAAGTTTTCTTTTTTTCAAGCTTGAGTTTGAACTCAGCTCGTTTATGTAATCGAGCCAACTCGAGATTAACTAATTCTTAATAAATAAGATTGAACACTCATAAGTTCAACTCGACTCATTTGCGGTCTTGTGAGAAAGAAAAAACAAAAAGAATAACAATAAATAAATGAGTATGAACGTAAAAGTGGTGGGTAAATACCATTACTCTTGTTTTATTAAATAATTTTTTTTTTTTTTTTTTTATTTTTTTAAAAATCCTAGGTTCGTATGATTCATATATTTAAGTTATACAAGTAATTCAATACATGACATATAACTGACAAGTTACAATGATATATAAAAAACATATGTAATTTTTAATGTTGAGTAAAAAAATAATAATAAATAAATAAAAGTTAAAAGAGGGATGTGTTAAATACAACAACAATAACGGTGTTGTGTAACAACCCATTATGAGTGTTAAGTGGTAATAACTGCCGAGTGTATATAAAATTCAATGCTATACTATATCGACCGTTACCGATAGCAGTGACTACCCATGCAAACAAAAATGCTAGAGGTCTTAAAAATTCTATTAAAAATTTTACCAAATGTCTCACGTGGGACCCACATAGGACCCACATTGTGTGGGTCCCACACCATGTGAGACATTTGATAAAATATTTGGTAAAATATTTGGGGTCTCTAGCATTACTCTACCATATAACGACCCATTTTAATGCATGAAAGCGTCGATTTGTGTTTGAAAAATAGCAAGTGGGCGGGAAAGTTTTGGTGTTTGGTGTTGGGTTTTGATTTGAGTTGGTTTATGTGGGCAGATTTTGTGGGGTTTTTTTTTTTTTTTTCTTTTTTTTTTTAGTTAAGTCCTTCTTAACTCTTTTTTTTTTTTCGTGAAAAAAAAAATCGTGAGGCCGAGAGGTTGGTTGTATGGATGCAAGTAGCAGTAGTAGGGGTAATTTGTACTTTCCGAATCTCTCTCGATGCATGCCATTTTCCTGTACCTTTAATTTCATGTTGTTAATGAAATTTTTACTTTGCCGATCAAAAAAAAAAAGCGTCGATTTGTGTTTACTTCTTCAATTCTGCATTTACCTATCATGCGTTTCTATTCACGTCTGGCTATAAAACTTTGCTTTCTTCATTGATTGATAAATTTAGATGTTTAGCGATTGTATCTGCTTAGTTATTTCATGGTGTGGGGCAGTACAACAGTCACTGTTGTGCAGCAAAATGGGCCTATTTTGGGAGCTCATTTTAATAATTCGAACCGTTCACATTTTAAAATATATAAAGTAGAATATACCTGTAAAAAATTAAATTAATCGAATATCGTTAACCCATTCATCTATTCATATTTGTATTCAATTCCTAGGGTCGTATGATTCATATATTTAAGTTATACAAGTAATTCAATACATGACATATAACTGACAAGTTGCAATGATATATAAAAAACATGTGTAATTTTTAATGTTGAGTAAAATAATAATAATAAATAAATAAAAGTTAAAAGAGGGATGTGTTAAATACAACAACAATAACGGTGTCGTATAACAACCCATTATGAGTGTTAAGTGACAATAACTGCCGAGTGTATATAAAATTCAATGCTATACTATATCGACCGTTACGGATAGCAATGACTACCCATACCATATAAAGACCCATTTTAATGCATGAAAGCGTCGATTTGTGTTTACTTCTTCAATTCTGCATTTAGCTATCATGCGTTTCTATTCATGTCTAGCTATAAAACTTTGCTTTCTTCATTGATTGATAAATTTAGATGTTTAGCGATTGTATCTGCTTAGTTATTTCATGGTGTGGGGCAGTACAACAGCCACTGTTGTGCAGCAAAATGAGCCTATTTTGGGAGTTCATTTTAATAACTTGAACCGTTCACATTTTAAAATATATCAAGTAGAATATACTTGTAAAAAATCAAATTAATCGAATATCGTTAACCCTTTCATCTATTCATATTTGTATTCAATTTAATATTTTAAATCATAATTATTATTTATTTTTATAGATACAAATGTGAGTGGATGAATGGTAAACGATATCCGATTAACTTGATTTTTTGCAGGCATGTTCTACTTGATGTATTCTAAAATGTGAACGGTTCGAATTATCAAAATAAGCCACGAAATAGACCTATTTTGCCGCATAGCAACCACCTCAAATCCGTTATTTCAACCTGCCAAGAACACGAAAAACAAAAATAAATATACATCTTTGTTAAGAATTAAAACAAGAATGAATGTTGGTAATGATCTTGTATCCAAATTTAAATTTGGTACTCTTGGCTCAAAGGAAACAAAATTAATTTTGAGTGTATTTTTTTTTTTTTTTTTTTTTTTTGATTGAAAGAGGTATTTCATTTAATAAAGCCAAAACGGCAATTACAAGAGTCCATTTAATCCAAAACTTACACCAAACAAAGAGAAAATAATGCAAGAAGCACCAAGGAAGAAAACTATGAAAATATTTAGACCTACATATCGTACTCGTGCTCAGACTGCGATGCAGAGTCGATCGTAAAAGTTCGACAATAGAGCATATCCGAAATAAATCATAGATCCCAACCACAATGAAGGTAAGCTAAACAAAGACGCACAGACGGACTCTAAGAACCAAACAAACCCAAAAACAACACAAACCGAAGGAAAGAAAACAAAAGAAACAAACAAAAGTAAAACCAAACAAGATAGACCCACAACCCAGCAAATCCGGCAGCAGCGTCGGCAAATCCGGCGATGGAGAAGACTGGTGAGGAAGAGGCGGCGGAGAAGAGTCGGTGAAGGTGGTGGCTAAGGCGGATCCGGCGTCGGCAAAGGAGGGAAGAAGAGAAGGCGGTGGCTATGGATAAGACGGCGATGGAGAAGATGAATCCGACCGGCGAGGAAGAGAAGGCAGTGGCTATGGAGAAGACGGCGATGTAGAGGTGGTGAAGGCGCGGATCTGAGAAGGCCACTCCCGAAGTGAATGGATGGGGGAAAACACCTCACAAAGGAGGGAGATGATGGAAAGCAAAGCTTCCAAGTTATGGGAAAGGAAAAAATGAAAGGAAAGAGCAAAAGAGGGGTTAGGGGGAGGGGAGAGGAGGCCAGAGGCCGCCGAAAACCCCTCCCCCACCACCAGTAGCCACCAACTTGGGAAACCCTAGGGGAGAAAAGTTTAGAGAGAGAGAATGTTCTTTTGATTATTGTGGAAAACAGTAAACTTACTTATTATTATCATGAATGTATGAGCAAAGCTCATATATATACAAAATACAAGAACTGGCTATCTGTAACAAACTAACAAACTCACTATACAAATTAACAAACTCACTAACTGCATACTAACTGACTAACAGAGGCACTAACTAACTATCTATATGTTGTGATACACATTCTGGTACACAAGCAGGTACTTTAACATGCCCCTGCAAACCCATGGGGGAAGACACCATGAGTTTGTCTTTAAGGTACTGAAAGCGAGAGACAGACAATGGTTTGGTGAAAATGTCGGCCAACTGATCCATGGTGGGCACATAATGAAGAGAAAGATGTTTCGCAAGCACCTGTTCCCGAACAAAATGGCAATCGACCTCTATATGCTTGGACCGGGAATGAAACACCGGATTGGATGCCAAAGCAAGAGCAGACAGATTATCACACCAGATCACAGGCACAGTAGGAGAAGTGACAAACAAGTCAGCAAGTAACATACGGAGCCAACTAACTTCAGCAGCAGCATGAGCTAAGGCCCGATATTCAGCCTCGGTGGAGGAACGAGAGACAGTGGCCTGTTTCTTGGCAGACCAAGAAATGAGATTAGAACCCAAAAACACACAATACCCAGATGTGGACTTACGATCAATAGTGTCACCTGCCCAATTGGAATCAGAAAAAACATGAAGATCAAAAATGCTTGGGGTATAGGTAAGACCATGAGAAAGAGTACCCTTAACAAAACGAAGCAAACGCTTAACAACAGAGAAATCTCCATTGGTAGGTGCATGCATGTGCTGGCAAGCTTGGTTGACAGCCAAAGAGAGATCAGGACGAGTGATTGTTAAGTATTGTAAAGCCCCAACCAGAGTACGATAGAGAGAAGGATTAGCAAAAGGAAAATCAGAAGTAGGAGAAAGACCAGGTTTAACTGAAATAGGAGATGGACAAGACTTACAATCATCCATCCCAGCTTTGTGAATGATCTCCTGAGCATATTTATGTTGAGAAAGAAAATAATGTGTATCAGAGGTGTGAACAGAGATCCCAAGAAAATAAGACAAATTGCCTAACTCTTTCATAGAGAAAACAAGATGCATTTGAGTAACTAAGGTTTGAATATGAGACGGATCACTGCCAGTAAGCAAGATATCATCAACATAAACCACTAAAATAGTAATGGAATGAGGGGTTTTGTGAATGAAAAGAGAGGAATCACAATGACTATTATGAAAACCTTGAGAATGTAAGAAGGTAGAAAATGTAGAATACCAAGCACGGGGGGCTTGTTTAAGCCCATACAAGGCCTTATGAAGCTTACACACATGAGTAGGAGAGGAAGAATCAACAAAACCAGGAGGTTGGGTCATGAAAACTTCTTCTTCAAGCTTACCATGAAGGAAGGCATTGGATATGTCCAACTGTTTGAGAGGCCAGTGGTGATGTAAGGCAAGACAAAGAATAATCCGAATTGTAGGAAGTTTGGCAACTGGACTGAAAGTCTCCTGAAAATCAATACCTTCTTGTTGGAGGTATCCTTTGGCAACAAGACGGGCCTTATATCGAGCAATTGAACCATCAGAGTTGCGTTTAATCTTGAAGACCCATTTACAACCAATTGGATGTTTATGAGAAGGCAAGGGAACTAAGGACCAGGTGTTACTTATTATTATCATGAATGTATGAGCAAAGCTCATATATATACAAAATACAAGAACTGGCTATCTGTAACAAACTAACAAACTCACTATACAAATTAACAAACTCACTAACTGCATACTAACTGACTAACAGAGGCACTAACTAACTATCTATATGTTGTGATACACATTCTGGTACACAAGCAGGTACTTTAACAATTTTGAGTGTATGCTCTTCTGATTTTACCAATGTCTAAGTTGAGTACAAAACCTTCTCCGAATCCTGCTTTATAGCACATTCTACATCCTTTTTGAACCATCTCATGGTAAACTTCATTTAGATGTTGCATTAGCGCAAGTTTTAAGTATACGTCCTTACCTTAAAAACATGTTACATTAACTTTATTTGGATATATGATTTTTTATTATAATTTAAAATGATTTTGTCAGTTGCACGTAATAGGACTTTGAGCCTTCAACTTCGTGCGAAGTTATCTTTAGTTAGTGATCTTGGTGGCAAATCCCTGTAAAAAGTTCTTTCACTATGTGCATTGAATTTGTGAATCGGACTATTATATATCAACTCATTATTATATTTATAAATAAATAAATTGTATCAACCAGGTCCATGGTAAGATATTATTTGTTTTCATTAATTCATTAATAATTTCCTCTAAACATGAGAACCTATCATAAATACTTGTGTAAATGTTAATACAAACCGTAATAAAATACTGATAATTTATAGCATTTATCGTTATTTAAATGATTAACCGAAAGTCATGTGCAACATTGTTGTATTGGTTACTGTTGTTCATTTAGGTTTGCTGAGGATATTTGTTGGATTTTTCTTTTGCACTCAACAGATTTTTTGTTTTAGGATAGCAGGAAAAGATCAAAAGAGGAGCATATGGGGTCAGTTATCCCGAATTCGGAAATTTTTAGCATTTCAGGACCAGTATACCTGACAACTACTCTTGATTGGTAAGACCATCTTTCACATACTTTGGTTGTGCAACTCTTCCAAATCCCTTATGGGAAATCCTCCTATCAAGGACTGACCCACATTCTAGTCCTTTTATTTTATTTTATTTTATTAATTATGCTACATTAGGTTTACTGAAATAAAATTGAAATAGAATGAGATATGATTATTCATTTGCTTACATATAGAATAAAATATGTCTGTTATTGCTGCCCTAAAATTTTTATTTTTCGAGTTCTTAAACCTACCTACGTCATCAAGCATTTTTTAGAGGCATTTCAATGTCAAATTCTTGTAGGGCAAACCCACACCACCGAAGATCTGTTGCTGCTAGTTTCGTTAAGGCAGTGTACACGCTACAACGTGATTGCCTAATGAAACGTAAAGGGCCCCAATCTCTTGCTGCTTCCTGGTTCGAATCCTTTCATTATAAGTTAATTGGTAAGTTGGTTGATGATCGCTCCATCTTTGGTGCCATTTTTGAGAACAAATATCCACCTTCCTACTATAATCATTTAGTCCAAAAACCTCCAAGATATGTTGTAGCCTTTCGTGGTACACTTATCGTAGGAGACATCTGGTTAGAGGATCTCAAGTTGAATAGGCAGGTGTCTCTGAATATTCTTCAACAGAGCACTCGCTTTCAGACTGCAATGCAAGAAGTGCAAGAAATGGTTGATAGAGTTGGAAATGAAAACATCTGGTTAGTTGGACACTCTTTGGGTTCAGCCATAGCACTACTTGTTGGAAAGAACATGGTCAAGCAACATGGGATACAATTTGCAAATAGTGTAGAAACTTATTTGTTTAATCCGCCATTCCCATTTGCCCCAATAGAGCTAATTGAAAATGAAAACCTAAAGCATGGGATACGAATCATAAACAGTCTCGTTACAGCCGGAATTGCTTTTTTAGTGAATGGTCCTCAAAACAATGACTCATTTGATGCATTATCCAGCTGGAACCCTCATCTATTTGTAAATGAATCCGACTTTATTTGCTCAGGGTATATTGGGTATTTTGAACACAGGCTGAAGATGATGGAGCTTGATGCTGGAGAAATTGAAAGGCTTGCAACACAATATTCAATAAGGAGATTATTATTAGATGAGTTGGGATGTGGTTCAGAACCGTTACATCTCCTTCCTTCAGCATATCTGACTATTAATAGGAGTCCCTCAGACACTATTTTGAGAGCACATGGAATCCAGCAATGGTGGAAGCCAAATATTCAATGTCAGTCTGAGCTACATCAGTTCAGGCAATTAACTGATTTTTCTTCTGGGCAAATGTTTTGTTGAGCACATTAATTGCATAACTTGGTACATGCCTCAATGATGGCTTAATTCTTTTTTTGGTCCTTCATTTTATTCTTTGCTTTCTTCCTCTTGTAGGGTGCTTTGGCAAGTGTTTGTCGGTTGGCTTTCCTTTGTTTTATTCATTTCACATTTTGGTTCAAACAAGAGCATTTTCACATTTTGGTTTGTTATGTTCTTTCCACATTTTCGTGCATTACACATTTTGGGAAACATAATGTATTTCAATATGTTTGTAGTGAATATAATGTTTCTAGTGAATATTTCCCAAGCAAAATGAGTTAAAAAATGTTTTGATAAAAAAAAATATAATATTATCACAAAATAAGTAATTTTATTTTTTAATCACAAATTATTATAACTATACTAAAAATTACATAACGTCTACTAAAAACTTAAAAGTATTATCCACATTAAAATAGATTATTTATATATGTAGCCCGACTTGATATCAAACTGAAAGTGCGGTTAGGATTCCATATAACCCACCACGCAGCCCACACCGACGATCCAAACCGTTTAATGTATGGAACTCATTGAGTACTTTATCCCTGTAAAACATCACACTGTGATTTTATTAAGTGGCTATTGATATCCGTGGGATCTGTAGTAGGCACCTCATATGGAGAAGCTGTAAGCTTATCGTGTTCCTAAAGAAAAGATTGAAACGGAACACCAAAAATAGAAAGAGGAGGGTGGACATCGGTGATAAGGAGAAGAATGCCAAGCTATCATCGGTTTCAACAAAAAGGACCAGGGCTGATTACGATATTTGTGGACAACCTACTAGAATCTATGGTGCCAAACAGCCTTTTCATTATGTTTAGCAGATATGGTGTGGTGAAGGATATATTTATCCCAAACAAAAAAAGGAAAGCTACTAGGTCAAGATTTGGTTTTGTTAGATATGATTGTCAAATAGCAACAAAGGTAGCAGTTCAAAAAGCAGATTGAATATGGTATGATGATAAGGGTCTGAAGGTGAGGATAGCTGAGTTTGGAAACGAAGTTCAGTATCAAAAAAAAAGAAGAGGCTAGAAAAGGAAAGACTATCTAGACGGACCAAAGGAAGTACGAGAAGCCTATAACCAGGTGCATTGGTCAAAGATCCTATGTTGATGCGGTACAAGGTATAAGAAAGGATAATCATATGATAACTATAAGAGCACAAGAAGTCAGAAATGGATGGCTCTATGAAAGTTTAGTGGTAAAGCTCAAATCATTCTTTTCTCTCAATGCTTTAAAAGAAGAGTGCAACAAAAGAGGGTTAAAGAAGGTGAGCATTAGAGATGGTGGAGGCAGAGTAGCATTATTATCTTTTTAAGTCAATGGAACATTTGAAGGAATGGAATAGTAGACTAGAGGAATGGATATATGAGTGGTGTGTATCAGTGGAAGAATGGGAGAAAAGAAAAGTTATTGAATATGAAAGGTGTGTGTGGCTGGCATGTTATGGTATTCCTGTTAACCTATGGAATAATGGAACCTTTAATGAGATTGGAACAATTTGGGGAGAAGTTATCCAACATGATGAAGATACTAGTAATGCGAAGTCATTTCAATGCGGTAAAGTAAGAATTATTACTAGTAGCAGAGAGTTTATTAATCAAGTGATCTCGTTAGAGTGTAATGGGAAGCATTATCTAGTTAGGGTGACTGAAGAACTATTCCCACCAGTATGGTCAACATCTGGGTCGTGCAGTTATTAGCATAAAGAGGGCCTATTCTCCATCTCCGGCAATGGGGATGACATGAACTCAGGTGTCAAAAATGGCAAGGTGGAGGTAGGGAAGAAAGAAGATAGTAGGGATGATGTGGCACTTTCTAATGATGTGACTAGCATTGTCAAAGACACAGTGGAGGCTAGATTACACGTAATGGAAGACAAGTACAAGAGGGTGGTAGAATCCACAGTGAGGAAATCAGATAATGGCTTGGGAAACTCAATAGTTGGGAGCTCTCGTAATGATAGTGCTTTGAAGAGTGTGGATAAGTTTTCAAAAAAGGTGGTTGAGCATCTCCAATGTATTGATGACAGTATACACATGGCTGGGTTTATGAAGAGTTTGAGTGGGCCAGAGCCTACTAGGCCCAACTTTAATTTAGAAGTAGTGCTTCATAGACCCCAAGCTGAAGCTTGTGTTGTTAGGCCAGTTGCGCTTTCACTATCAAACTTGAGTGATTGTGTAGCCCAATCACAGTTCAATATAGATGAAGCCTAAGTAGTTAAGGAAGATGGGGAGGGTAGAACAGTCATGGTTAATAGGGAAAGTGCCTCTAATAGCAAGGGATTATACGGACAAAGGAGAAGAGGAGTTGCAAAAAGGTGTGGCATGCCACTTCAGAAAAGGTAGAATACTCCCCAAAAGCTTCAATAGAGGGGCCATTTTCAAAGCAATTGTTGTTGCAATCTCAAACTCACTATCGCTTACTAGTGAATCAAGTAGAAGAAGGGGAAGATTGATCAAGGAGGCTAAAGCAACAATCCAACTGGGGAAATCACTTGGTATAAATTTTGATGGCAAGGAGGATGATGTGATAGAGAAGATAGTTCAGCTGGAAGACAGGGACTTGGAGAGGATTGATGTTAGTGGAAGGGCGGTTGAAGTCTGAACCACCAATGGAGGAGTATAGGTGTTTTGTTGTTTCCTTTATGAATATAATGTCATGGAATGTTCGTGGTCTAAGAAAACCAGAGAAAAGGTGTAAAATTAAGAACCTGATAAAAGAAAGAGGCATGGATGTGGTGTTATTTCAAGAATCAAAGCAAAGCAACATGAAGGAAGTGTTTATTAAATCAATTTGGCCCTTTGATAAAATGAAGTATATGGGAGCAGATGTTAAGGTAGTGTTGAGGGTTTATTATGTATTTGGAACCTTGATAGATTTAAGTTAGTTGATTGTTATGGCTCCAAGCGTTTTATCCTTCTATCAAGTATTGTTGGATTATCTTTCGATTGCTTTGTGGTAAATGTTTATGCTCCAAATGATGTTAGTAAGAAAGGGCAGCTGTAGGAATCATTAATGGTGTGTTTGGTTGGGGGATTTAGGGAGGGATTTGGAAAGGGAAAGGGAAAATGTGTGTGAAACTATGTGAAATGTAAGTATATTTTATTCACATTTCACCTAACTTTTCCTTTTCTCTTTCCAAATCCCTCCTCAAATCCCCTAACCAAACACAGCATAAGGAGATCGAAATTTTCCTACCGCAATCCACGGTGCATGAGTGGAGATTTTAATGAAATTAGATTTCTTAGTGAAATAAAGGGTTGCTCAAGAAGGGAGAGAGGTATGAATGATTTTAATGATATAATAGATCATTTGAGTCTAGTTGATTTGCCAATGAGGGGTAGAAGTTTTACATGGTGCAATGGACAAGATGAGAAGAGATGGAGCAGGATAGATAGATTTCTATTGGAGAGTACATGGCTTAAGAAGTTTTCTTTCAAGCAATGGGGACTTCCTAGAACAATTTATGATCATTGTCCAGTCCTATTAATGGAGGATGAAAGTAATTGGGAACCAAAACTGTTCAAGTTTATTAATGCTTGCCTACTTCATATTGATTTCAAAACAGTGGTGAAGAGCTCTTGGGATGAAACAGTGGAATCAGAATAGGCTAGGTTCAGATTGATGAGGAAGTTTGCAACACTTAGAGCCAATCTTAGAAGATGGAATTCAAAAGTGTTTGGTCATGTGCAAACCCAACTTAAGCAAGTAGATGAGACTTTACATGCACTAGACTTGGTGGCAGAAGAAAGATCTTTGTCAAAATCAGAAGCAAGCAGAATAAGAGAAGTTAGAGGGCATGTATGGAATCTGAGCAGGAGGAAAGAGAGTTTATGGCATCAAAAATCTAGATTGGTGTAGGCTCAGTGTGGGGATAAGAATACAAGGTTCTTTCACATGATGGCAAGCCCAAGACAAAAGAGAAATTTACATGATTCAGTTGTGGAAGATGAGGCCAGGTTGGTAGAGCCAGCTAGAGTGAAGCAATCTGTTCATAGGCACTTTGAGAGATTGTTTTCTAAAAATTGATTTTCTAGGCCTAAACTTCTTGGCCCATTTGCAACCATAAATTATGTTGTGCAGGTTGAATGCTTAGAAGCATCAGAGTAGGAGATATGGGCTGCCTTACAAGATTGTGATGGAAATAAGGCTCCTGGACTAGATCGGTTCAATTTGACTTGCATTCAGAAATGCTGGAAAGTAATGAAGAGAGAAATATTACAATTCATGCATGAGTTTTATTTAAATGGGAAGCTAGTTTCAGGTCTAAATATCTCTTTTATCACCTTCATACCTAAGAAAGAAAATCCCTATGAGCTAAGTGATTATAGGCCAATCAGCTTAGTCATTTCAGTGTATAAAATATTAGCTAAAGTGTTGTCTAAAAGACTGAAGAGGGTTCTGCCAACAATCATTAGTGAAGTCCAAACAGCTTTTTTTGGAGAAGATTCATTCTTGATGGTGTTTTGATTGCTAATGAAGTGGTGCACTAGTGGAAAGTTGAAAAGTTGATAGGTATTATTCTCAAGTTGGACTTTGAAAAGGCATATAATTCAGTTGATTGGGAGTTCATTTTCTTATTGATGAAGAATTTTGGTTTTAGGGACAAATGGGTGAGTTGGATTAAAACATGCCTCTGATCAGCTAAAGTTTCTGTCCTAGTCAATGGTTCTCCAATACAGAATTCACACCTTAGAGAAGGCTTAGGCAGGGTGATCCTTTATCACCACTTCTGTTCAACATAGTTGCTGAAAGTCTAAATCTGTTGATTGAAAGAGCAAAAGAAAGAGGGTTTATAAAATGTGCATGTATGGAGCCTAATGAGTTGAATTCTCTCATCTGCAATTTGCAGATGACATCATTATATTCTATAAGGCAAGGAGGGGGGAAATGGTGAACATTAAGAGAATTTTAAGATGCTTTGAGGTATCCGGATTAAAGATAAATTTTCATAAAAGTGTGATGTATTAGGTTGGTGTGAGTGATCTAGAGGTTAACCATTTTGCCTCAATTCTTAATTGCCACAACCAAAAGCTCTCCATCAGTTGGGGCTAACCCCAATAGGAAAAGTACTTGACAACCAATTATTGAGAAAGTGAAAAAGAAGTTAGTTGCATGGAAGAGGAAATTCCTCTCTTTTGCTAGTCGATT